TTGGAGGGTAAATGTTCCAAACCACAAGGGACAGAAATACTCTCTCTCTATGGTGGATCTATTCGACCAACTCAACAAGATGGATCCCATCTATGAGCGTCGTCCCGACAAGAAGAACGTTGCTTTTCGTTCTGGGGACGTTCGTAGCACCTTGGACGACAAGCTCATGGGCAAGGCCTCTGACATCCGAGAATCAGCACTGGAAGTCATGGAAGCACTTCTTGATAAGCTGAAGTCCCTGGATGCAAGCGGCAATCCGGCAACTCGAGAAGAACTTTTGAATGCTATGATTCACTACTTCTTGAGCGCCGGAGTCGATGAAGAGGAGATCGGGGACCTCTCTCTTGAGAAGACGCCGAATCCTTATATTCATCGTTTTGGTCTGGCAGAGGACTCCAATGTCCCTATCTTCACCAGCAAGACCAAGTATGCCGCGCTCATCCTCAATCTCGGCAACATGAGCAGGGGAAGAAAGCGTACCGCTCCTCGCTCCGTTGCTGATCACATTGACTGGGACGATGCTACACCATCTAAAGGAGCCTTGATAAAATCGATTGCACAGTCGAAGACGCATTTGTTCATGCTCTGCGAAGCGGCTCAGATCGATGACTCCGAAGAGGCCTTCCTCAAGTCACGCGGTTGGCAATTCCTTCGTAACGAGTCCAAGGACCTGATGGTGGGAAGTCGTACAAATGGTGTCGGATCTTCGATCACACGTCTTGCCGGCTCCACTCTCAGTGGATATGCCCACGAGTCCCTTCCAATAACCTATATGGTCGCGGAAATCGTGTATGGCATGACGTTACCGACCGGTCTCCAGGGCAGTCGTGGTGATGTTCCAGATGAGTCACTGACCAAGGTCTTGGAGCGAGCTGGATCCGACCGGCTGAGAGTTTGTGTCTTCCACCTCCACAACGACGCGGCGGCAGACAAGGTGGCGTTGGCTCATGAAGTGTTGGGCAACATGTTCATCGACTGCTTGCACTACCAAGTCGACCTCATCGGTGGCGACGCCAACATGGCCCTCTACCGGGCCACCGGCAGAAAGCAGGAGTCGATGGATATTCGTGGCGGGATGTACCAAAGCCTTCTCGACTACTTCTTGGAGGCATGGTCAGAAAGCCCAAAGTGCCCACACTTCTGTTCGCCTCGTGCGAGACATGTGTCAGCAAACGCCATGTGGCTTCTGAAACAGTATGAGGACACGCTGGGAATGCCATACAAGGAAGCTAAGCAACCAGACTGGAATACTTTTCCTGGTTTGGATCCTGTTATGGCTACAGTCATGGAATGGGGACACAGCATGTCGGACGATCAATGGGCGGAGTTTCCGTCTTCAAAGACTGAGTTCGACATCCATGTCTCTGAGTGGCTGTTAAACTCCACCAGCGCCGCGTACCTTCTCAACGATCGGGACTATGACGCTCACACTCCGCTCCTCATCGAGGTTCACGCGAACCAGTACTCTGGAGGCAGGATGAGAGCGCTCAACCGCAATCCCGACACCATGAAGGAAGCCGCGGACAGAAGAAAAGAGAGACAGAAGCTGAACAAGGCGCGTGGTTCTGGTTCTACTGGTCCTGCAGCCGCACCACAGGGAGCAAGCTCTTCTCAGGAAGAGGCAGCTTCTGGTGCTAAAGCTTCTGGTTCTCAACGTCCTCCAGAACCCGCACAACCTCCTGGTGGCAAAGAAGGCGGCAAAGGAGGCAAGTCCTCCAAAGGAAAAGGGAAGGACGCCGACAAGGGCAAGTCCAAAGGCAAATCCAAGGACAAGTCCAAGGGCAAGAACAAGGGGAAGAACTGACTAGGTTCCGATTCTTCGGACGTGGATATGGACAATGGTTCTGAAGAAGTTCCTTTGGAACAAGTTGGAGACGTTGCTCCAGATCCACAGATATCGCTACCTAGATCCCCTGCTGATCCCCGCGGTTACGACCCTGTTCGTCATCAGCCGGTGATGCCGATTCACACTGTCGACATCTACCGTTGGCATGGTGAGGATCATTGGCGTGATAGAACCTGGGATGCAGACCTAGAGTTCGTCGACTGAACTGGCTGTGTGTTTCACGGAATGCTTCTTTCATAAGAAGGTATCCACTTTGAGCATTCGCCATTTCATAGGGAGATGCTTTTCTCAGGAAAAGGTACTTCCTAAAGAACTCTTTCTCAAAGGAAGATACTTATCTCAGGATAAGATACTTCTAATGCCCTTATATATTTGCCTTGCCGCAAGATGTCATGCTGGCATCAAGTAAAGCTAAGCTTTACACCTTTATGTTACAGTATGCTTTCCGCCTGGAGAGGGAACTGAAACACAAGTGGGCAACTTTCAAGCAAAAGTTTTCAGTTGAAGATCCGTTTGCGTTTCGTGCGTGTTCTGCTCTTTTCATTGAAGCTGTCTTCAGGCTAGAGATGTATAGATTCTCTTCAAGTCGCAGATGTAGCTCAATACTCCGCTAATTCGACCAAGAGCAATAACAGGCTTGTAGATTGCCGACTCCACGGCCATGCAGCTCTACGTGTTTTAAATTTGTGCCTGGTTGAAACACTGAATGTTACACATCCAGGTGCCTGTCTGTTTCACGTATCACTTGCATGTATCCATGCCTGTTGCTCAAGGTTCTAGTGCAGTGGACTACAGCTGTGCGCCTGTAGCAAAAGAGACACCTGAGTGCCTGTGTTCCTGTACGCCTAGCGAGGGGATACACGTCCAGGTTACATCTCAGGGGGGGGGGGGCGGCCCGGGACCCGAGAGCATGAATGCCGAGCCCATGATTTGCGGAGCTGGGGCCATCCAGCCACGTCGCAACAACTCTTACCCCACACATACTAGACTAAACCACCCAGATCTTGTGAGAAAACACCCGATGTATGAAAAGCTTCCAGATCCAACGCACAAAGGCGAGAACGAGGAGTCGCTGCTGCGCACGGACAAAGAGCTTCAGCGGACGAAGTCTGTTGGGGCCCCGGCAGTTTCCGGAAGACCCGAAGCCGAAGACATTCTATAGAGTATAGGGGCCTAAGTAGTTAAGAATACTATTTTGGTGGTTCCTGATTATAATTCTAGTACTGTGGGCCACAAAACCCTATTCTAATTTTTTGCGGCCCCTGTGTTAGTATTGAGTTTCTAACAGCTGGGATGATCTTGGAGCCTGCGAGGTCACAGTGGGGTTCTGAGCTGAATAGCTGAATAGCTACACTATCAGGGGATTATTATCTAATATTCGGGGAACTGACTGCCAAACAGTCTGGAACTTATCGGCACTTCTGAGTGCCTGAACGCGGCCCACCCTGAGGACAAGAAGGTTGGTATGGCGTTCTCGCTGATTGGTGTGTATGATGCGTATATGTATATACATATGTTTACATAAATTTGTATACACACTTAACTTATGTGTATATATATATATATATATATATATATATATATATTTATATATATATATATATATATATATATATATATATATATATGATATATATATATATGATATATATATATATATATATATATATATGATATATGTATATACATATGTCTACATATATAACTACTCATACTCATGTATATGTATATATATATATTTATTTATGTGCATGCATGCATGAACAGGCATGGGCGTATTTGTATAGGTATGTATACATATATACATAAATACATGTATCCATACAAGATCATACAAGTGTAACAAAACTACGTGTAGCAGAGCATAGTGTTATAAAGTTTCTACGTCGGTTTACACTACAAACACCACACTTGACGACACAACTCAATACAGGAGGCCATGATTCAATATGACACACTATAGTATCATGTAACTTAAGGTAGCACAACATATCACATGACATATTCTGATTCAGTCCAACCTCATCTAAGCTGATATCATATCATGGACAGTACGAGCTGTTGCAATACCACATAACAGAATAGATAGACGTGATAATGCTTGTGATGTGGGGTCTAAGGAGTCCTGGGATTTCAGAGTTCAGGTTGGCTTGGAGCATTTTCGGGGTTTAAGGCTCTTGAAAGTCAAGGATGTGGCCTAAATCCACAACCCTACACCGTCGTTGTTTGCAGATTGTTATGCGGGTCAACTGCCGACTGTCCAGATACGTATCCCAGGACCCAGACGAGAGCTCCGACGAGGAGGAGTTCTGATTCAAAGCTTGGGATCGCGAGAACGCGCCCTCCATGCTACTACATCTTCACAGCCGTGTTTGAACAGCATGCAGTCACTAGTCGCTAGTATAGAATACGTGAGTGTATTGCAGGCTAGATTGCAGACTCATCCTACAACACACTGCACAGGGGAGAACCCCTGAGCCAAACAGGTAGATCTCATGGAAGACTCCGCCATTACTTTCGGAGACATCATGTACCCATGCGTTGCAGACAGAACAACTCCACAAGTCGAGCAAGTCTCCAAGAGCTACATCAACGATTGCTCAAGGTCTTGCTCAACAGTTGAGAGAATCCTGGAAGTGTTTCACCTCATCCGTCATTCACTCGTCAGGCTTGTCCGAGTGTGAGCGCCGAAACCTCAACACTAACCTCAGGAGTCCAAACAGGGCCCGAAAAAAGTCTCAGGAGTCGGACGAGGAGACTACCACGACCGAGCAGTCCGACGATTCAGATGATGGAGACGGGCTTCCTGAGGCCATCTCTTCAAGATCAGCAGTTAGGGTCGGGATCGTTTGAGCTGAATCACTGGAAATCAAGTGCATCACAACCTCAACCTAGGAAAATAAGATCCCCAAGCTTTGCCAGTCTACATGGAAGCCCATAGGGCCCACCACCTAATCAAAACCGTGATTGCCTTTGTAGGCAAGTCAGAAGGAGAAGGGGTGTAGCTTTGGCTCTTATTAATGAGGGTTGCTAATGTCATCGATCCTGTTGTTTCGGGGGGTTTGGGGAAATTTGGGGTTTTCTGAAGCAGGTTCCACCTTGCACATTCAGTTCGGATCTAGGCCTGAAGAGGGAGCCCACGTGCACGTCTGAGGGTGAGGACCTCGCGTCTACGGGAAGCTCGAAGAGCACTGGCACTGACGAGACCAAGGACTTGCCAAATTCAGATGTGCTTTCTCGAAATTTAGGTGCCTTCCCTTCATGTTGAATCAACCGAATCATGCCGTCTGGGGTCTTTTATTTAATTTGCTGAGAGTTCTTGGTACGGGAGGCTGATTAAGGCCGCGAAGCGGGGGAGTCAACTTGACTAATATGTGCCAGCACGAGCTCATGAGCCAGCCAGAGCTCCTCATGTCAAAAGGACAAGGCAGAGAAGACCAAAGGCGAGGAGAACACCGAAGAGAGCGATTCCGATGAGGAGAGCCAGGGCGCCGAAGAGGATCCTTCGGACAGCATGAGCTCAGTGGAGATGGAAGGCCACCGGGCGGTTGAAGGAGGCTTCAGCTCGCTTAGAGGCTCAGACGTAGACCTTTGGCTACAGCTCAAACTTGTGGCCTTCGGCCGACCGACAACGCAAAACCCTTCCCAAGAGACCTCGTCTGGCAGTGTCCGACTTGCGAGAGCGTAAAGCGCGAGCTTCCAGGCTTCTCCACCAATATGGGCCCGCACCACAAGGCGAAACCCGCTCGAAGTGCAGGCAGCCGCCCGCTATTTTTCTGGCCTCAGATGGGCTGGCATCAGTTCTTGCCACATGACCCTGCGCAACGGATTTGGGAACGTGTGGAGCAACACTAGTATACCAGAACCACAACTATACTTGCTTGGGGTTTGGTGGCAAGGGGTCGTCGAAACAAGGGAGCATTGTCACAACGGAAGCCTCATCGCGAAACTTTACGGAGGTAGAGCAGCCATCGGAATCAATGATGAGCAAAACATGTGCTAGACCATGTTTGAACAAACTGATGCAGCAGGATGCCCCGCATCACCCAGCCAGCTCCATGCCGGCTGCCACAATTACTTAATCTGCAATGAATGGCAGGTCATCCCACGGATAGGCACAATGCGCCTCACAGCAAAGTGGAGAGCAGGCACGACCCGTTTGTGCCAGGGAAGGAGGATAGTTAGTTGTGATCAAAATTTGACACAGTTTTTGTTGATGAATCGAGCCTCCGGTGCTTTTTATACTGCTGTTGTCCTATACTCGAACTCACATGTGGTTAGCACCAGGCATGTTCTGAGTTGGGGGGGCCCTGCTCTCTTGCATGCCAGGTCTAGCCCATCCACAGGGTTCGATATCATTAACTCAAGTGGACCTTGAACTCTTTCTTGGTCATGTGCCTCCTACCGAGATACAACATCGAGTCATGAGCTGTCGAAAATCACACCTAGACCGGAAGAGTCTCGCGCCCAACGCGCCGTAGTTGGTGTCATCTTGCGTTTCTATGTATACATATGTATATGTATATATGTGTGTATATATACATATATATGTATATACATGTATATGTACATATACGTGTGTGTGTATGTATACACATATAGACACGAATCCCCACTAAACTTTGGAGCAGTCGTCTATCGCATCGGAAGCAGCTAGGTCGTAGCTAGGTTGCATCCAGTTGGAAGAACCCTGCCAGTGAAGGCATCAGGAATCTCCAGTGAAGGCCACAGCCAAGCATACAAGCGGCAAGCACAGTGGCTCGCTTCAATTAGGATTTTTCAAATTCAGGGTTAGCTTCACATAGGCGAGCTTGTAAGAGGGCTCCTATAGCTTCGGGAAAAGAAATGAAGGCACCGTTGCTTCAGCACAAGGAAGATCCTACAATGTTTTCGGCTAGGTCAGAGAAAGGTCGCTACCTTCTGAAACTCCTGATCTCTCTGCTGCCCCAGCTGTTTCTTTGCAAGAAGACCAGAATCCCAAATGATTCTGTCTTCGCAGGTTATCGCCGTTGTCAGAGCCCACTCCAAGGTGGTAGATTGGTTCATCTCACATCACCCAACAAGAACTGAAGTTAAGTGCGTTGGTTGCTGGGGTGATGGAGTCATGGAGCAATACTTGAATAGCATGCTCTCTGCTAAGGTGCCGACAAGGAGCAGCCGGAGAAGCACGAAGTCAAAGCCAAGACTAAGGCCGCTCACGCATTTCAAATAATCAAGTGTCCTTTTGAAGGGGCCTCATGATGGGGATCCTACAGTACTGTTTAGTTTAGGGTCGATTTGGATATTCGGTTTCTACAGCAAGAAAGCACATCGTGGTGCGAACACGACTATCCTGGTTCAATGTGGCTCACTTCTACCATTGCATCTTCCTTGTGCGCATTGTTGTTTTGGTAGATAATTTGAGTGTCACTGACATGTATAGATAATGCACTTACTTCGTACCATATGATGCGGCTTTGTCATTAACTGGCATCGAACTTGCATATCGCCGGAACAAATCAACGAAGGCCGCATGCAGCCTTAAACCCCTATCCACAGGAGGGCCTCGTCCTTGCTGGGTAGAAGGGAAAAATCCGCTAAACCAAGCCCTAGTCCATGTGCACACAGCAGGCCGAAATCAAGTCGCACTCGACGCACAAGATGCAACGGAAGCAACTGGGACTGGACCTGGGAATGGGTTGAAGTGCTTTAACGGTGTAGGACCGGTTCCGGGTATAGAGGGTTCGAAATCCTGTGATTTCAGCCAGACAAGCTGCAGAAGTAGGGTCATCGTAATGCTAAACTGTAGGAGACGGCAACGGTGATGACAAGCCATGGCAACAGTTTGTTAATGCAATGCCTACGGCTCAAGCCACGCGTCGGCTGTCAGGAACAACGCTGATATCGTGCATACCACTTTGTCCTCTTTGCAAGGATGTTGTCCTTGTGCTATCGCCGAACCTTCATTGATGTCGAAGACGAACGGTCGGTGAAGCTCTTGCGGTCCAGAAGTGTCCCCGCTGGCCGTCGTACCGAGGTGCATGAAGATGCTCAGGTGAAGAAGGATTTGGCCAGCATCTACCAGCGCATGGAGGAGTGGCGAGCAGAGAGCTCTTCGACCACGGATCCGGTGCCAGAGGCTCAGGCCGAAGAACCCACAGGACACGCACCTTCGGAAGAGACGCACGGGCAGGAAGAACACGAGGCCCTGATGCGGGCCAAAATGGAAGGTCTTCCAGCTCTCAACCCCGGAAGCTATGGGCATCCCGAGGTATGCCGCAAGCCTTGTGTCTTTTTCCAATCTGGAAACTGCGAGAACGGGGACCGTTGCGGTTATTGCCATGTCCGCCACCAGAAGCGCCCGGTGCTGCCAGATCGGAAGCAGCGCAGCTCTCTTCGCAAGCTTAATCAATCGGAGTTGCTCCACACCTTCCTGCCAATGCTCTGGTCTGAGGCTCGGCGGGTGGGCATTGCTCAGGAAGCTGCACCCGCGCTCAAGATTCTGGAGGACAGCCGGAGAACACTGGGGACGCCTCGGGCAGCCAAGCTCCTTGGCGACGAGGCGGAGTATCTCCAGGCCATCCTGCTTCGCATGTCATTCGGCAGTTTGATGGCAATGCTGCTTCACAACCTGCAGCAGAGTGCAACCGTGGATGCCGCCCGGAACGAGATGGAGGCGATGCGGCAAACGTTGCAATTCGATGCATAAGCCCAAAGCCAAGGGTGGAGTGAGCGCACACAGTCGAAGGCGGTCGATCCTGGGTAACCCCCACCACATGCTACCATCATACAGGTACTGTCTGGTTTCTTCTGAAGATTATGTCCGCACGCATTGTGTCGCGTCTTTCAGTTTGCAAGACCACGGGAGTTGGGGGACGCAGCGGCTTCGGAGGGCTGTTTACCAAAGCCAGGTTCGATTTCATGGAGACCTTTCGCTGCAGTGGGATCGAACCAAGTTGGATGTTCCACATAGGCATACATTCATCAAGGCCGCCGTGCTCCCTTTACCCCGAAAGATAAAGACATGTGAGGAACCATGAAAACTGCAACGTTTTAAGAGCGATGGTTTGCGGTGTGTGAAGTCGACCTAGCAGCACCGTGTCTGCAAGAAGATCCCAAGGGCCACATCTCCCAATATCTTAGACAGCAGCGAAGGTTGTGCTGCGGTGCAAGACACAGAGGATTTCCAGAATCCTTAAGAGCTCAAGCCAGCACAAAACCGAACATCCAGCGCGCCCTTGGGATTTCACGTTGCGAGTGGAAAATATGAAAGGAAAGCTAGTGAACAAGCCAAGTCTGGTTCGCCAGTAGACTTCCAGCTGCCGACGCCCCAAGAAGCCATAAAGGTGTCTGCCTTGCCATCCACATGATTAAGCCATGGAGCCAACAACGATGGTTTATGTAGTCATATACGGTTTCGGATTTGACCGTATGCTGTTTGGCAGACCTGGGCCAATGCGGATGCAAGGGCGTGGCGTCGTGCTCCGTCGGATAAGAACTGTCCCCAGGGCGACACAAGAGGTCTTGTTCACCTGGGGTCTGTTCGCTCCTGACATTCCTCTTCGGGCAGCACCGCGGTTCAAAGCATGCGAGCTTGCCATGTTTCAATCGTCAACCAAGGGTCCTGCAATCTTCAAGGTTTCCGTTGTTTTTGCAGACAGCCTTCAGCTGAAAGTATGCGCCTGAGTGAAATCGACGGAGTTGCGATGTTGAGGCTGCAAGATCTTAATCTTGGTTGACCAGCACGCGACAGAACAGTGGCATGTATAAACTCTACCATGTCACCGAAAGAGGGGTCCCATCCTTGCTGCGTTGGGGCTCGGCTGGCCGACTCCGGGTCTGCTCGTGGGTTCAGGATCCCAGGGGCAGGCCGTCATCTGTGTTCCCACCGGGTGAGCAGCACCACTCGCACATCCTTGCGTGCTGCAACGAAAGCGGGTCGTTTATCTGTTGTAAGATTTGTAGAAAGAAGAGAGAGAGAGAGAGAGAGAGAGAGAGAGAGAGAGAGAGAGAGAGAGAGAGAGAGAGAGAGAGAGAGAGAGAGAGAGAGAGAGAGAGAGAAAGCAAAGAGACAGAGGGATAGAGGAGTTTGAAAGAAGGATATTGCTCGGATGCCTTCCGGGAACAGTCTGGCCTGCATAGAAGCTCATATAGTACCGGCTTGGATGCGGTTTGATATTTTTCCGCCTCTGAGCCAGAGCCAGAGCCTTTCCTTGTATCTGCGTCCAGTCGAGCCACACCATAGCAGCCATAGCAGGGTGTACTCCGGAGATACCATATAGTGAGCCAGCTATCTTGGCTCGTGGCCAGATCTCTTGAGGTCTGCAAGATTGCGCAGAAGCAAGTTCCCATTTTCAAAGTCATCTATCGGGGCACGTGCTCTCAGGGGGGTCGACTTCCTGGGCCATTTTGTCCGTGCCCTGCCACGGAAGCTTGGGGCCGAGTAGTGTAGAGTCCTGATCAACAGAACAAAGAGTCTACGAGCTTCAAGCTTCCTTTCCAGCTGGATGCATGTGTAAAAGCCACTGGGGTGGCTCGGGGAGTCGCGAAGGTTCAGCCTGATTTTGGTGAGTCGGTCATGATTGCAGGTTAAGGGAGTGGGCGACGTCCTTTCGAACACATGGTTTGAAAGAGCTGCGGTCTCCTTGTTAACCTGTGAACTGAGGTGGACAAGCAGACCAGTTCCTAGACCCAACCACGCTGCTTCACCACATACCTTGCGAGAAAGCATCGAAAATCCGGGTGCTGGTTGTGCTTGATCTTGCGAAGGTTGCACGAGATCACGGGAAAGCCTCAGCTCTACTGACCCCAGAGGTTTTTTGGCCTAGTCTTCAAACAATCGCACTAAGCCCTGGGCGCCGAAACCTTGATCGGCGGCGATACTTTCAAGCGAACTCAGCCCTTATCCTCTGCGGCGCGGTGCACGCCGTCCATCATCGGAAGCCTATCTTCTCTGCTATTCTATCAATGCCGGTCTTGTAAGTGTTCATCAAGCAAGTACTTGAAGAGATTATTCATAGCACCACTGTGTTGCGGACACGTCGGGCCCGGGAACCCAAGCCGCGACTGACACGGTGGGCAGTATATGAATCTTATGTGCACACGTTCCCATATGTACACACATATAGTTTTACATATTGTTTGTTTTGCTACAGGCGCGCACAGACACCCGCACGCACGCGCACACGCACACACGCACACACACGCACACACACGCACACACACGCACACACACGCACACACACACACACACACACACACACACACACACACACCCGCGCGCGCGCCCATTCACACGTACACCCACAGCGAGCATGCGGCAACGGACTACTGCAGTTTGCCAGAGTCCGAAACCATGAACTTGAAACCGAAGAGCTGACGGCATCTTTGCGAGCGCCGAATCTGATCCGTGGGCCGAGGAAAGACTCGGCCAGCCTCCAGGAAGCTGACACCACGCAGACGACAACATACTACTTCACCCTGGTTGCCAGCAACAAGTACTGTGCCCCACGGATTTGAAAACAGATGCGAGTTAGTCTAAGGCTAAGGTTAATCTGGTGGATTCGGGAGGGCTATCCTCCTCCTGCCCAGATTTTGATGTGATTTCTTGCTCATGAAAGCACTGTAGAGTCATTCTGAGCTAGCCCGTATTCAGCTCTTCATCGCCGCAAGGTGGCTCCCCGAGTACCAGATCAAAAATCCATGCTTCAATGTAGAAGCTCAGAGTGATTTTTGCTGCTCAACATGTAGAAGTCTCTTTAGGCAAATGCCAATTCTGGCTACAAGACGAACGTGGGCAACTACCAGACGAAGGCATGCTTTGAGCTTCGTGGCGGCAAAGTCGAGTTGGGATCCAGGGTTTCGGGTTTTTATTTGCTGGAGGGGACGAGTAGCAGTATGCTTGCGGCATACTGTTCGGACTTGGAAAATTTCATATGCGAGTTCCCCAGTATAGCCCCTGCTTTCTGGAACCACCAAATGCATCAATGTATGCAGCCCTCGCACCATCGACACGTGTTGCTCTCGCGCCACTCCTGGTCAACCTCTTTCGAGCTCCATGTCTCAGCCTAACAGTCCGCGCCCACCTGCCAGCGACCCCAAATGCAAAAGGGTTGATGAGTCCTGGACTTCAGGTATGTTCTCAACGAAGCTTCTTGCGGCAAATTCTTCGACTTCGGGGTCGTCGATGGAGCATGCGATTGCGTGCCGAAGGTAGAAACCAACTGCAACCAGGCAGATGCCGACAACTACCATGTGCAACTAGGCAAGCAAGACTCCCCGCTTTGACTCTGGTAATTAATTAGATCCCTGTCAGTATCCCAAGCCCGCCGCAGCCCGCGGTACTTTGCACGACAACTGCCAGCCCAAGAATCGAACATCCGCATTGATCCGCATTGTCGGATTCGCATGCCGTGGTCTCTGCATTCAGGCATGTGCGAAAGCAATAGGTAACAGTTATTGCTCGAGTTGCCAGCACCTGGAGTCGGTGACATGTCAAAGCAAAGCCTGCTGAAGCTGCCAGAATGGAGAGCTGCGACCCTGCAAGGGGGCGTGCGTTTGTGTTGGGAGAGCGGGGAGGTTTTACTACTTGTGCCCGTCCACCGGTGGTAAGCAAGCAAGCAAGATAATGATATCAAGATAGACAGGTATAAGTAGATTTTGTGCTCCTCAGTGACGCCGACAAGCCCAGTATGCGTGTGCACAGATAGACGTGCACACACACACACACACAGACAGAGGGGCAGTCGCCTGTTTTTTCGTGTGGTGCAGTGTTACCTGCCTTTCGCCCACCGCCCGCCCCCGCATGGTATAGTCTCCCGAAGCGTAGATTGGTCATGCTTGGATCATCATCGGGACTCTCACGGTCACCATGCTGTGACTGTTCGCAGTTTTCGGAGATTCAGTCAGTCACCTTGCATTAGGACGCCTGCTCATGATTGCGCATGCACTCACAGAGAATCGTCGCAGTTTCCCCGACCCAAGAAAAGTTGCCAGTCGCTCAGCGACAATCCTGCAGGTATTTGATTCAGAAAGGAGGTCCTGAAGCCCTGACTCTTGGCAGAATGAAGTGGAATGCTTCCCAGTGCTTCATGTAACGATGGCAAGCTCAAGTATGTGTAGGTTCCATCCTCCGAGGGGTAACGAGGTCCGCTCAACCCCAAAGCCCAGAAGTATCTGCACCTTATCCAAGGACCGAGATGGATGATCAGGGCAGAGCAACTGAGGTGGAAGAGTAAGATCATGCGCTGACCTAACGGATCATCAGTTTACACTGTCGTTGAACTCAGGAGGTCATTGGCGATCCTGCTGATCATGGTGATCCTTCGGATGACTGAGTGTGAGTGGTGAATCTGCGAGAGCTGTTGAAGCTCTCGCAGCTTGCAGCAGCAGTATGAAAGCTGCACATAGGACGTGAAGCTTCTGGCGAAAAGCCAGGCGTGTGCAGATGCCCTTACCTGCAGTTAGCCCAAAACGAGACAGCTCGTACGTCAGCCGCATCGCTCGCTCTTCGTACGAGCACAGAGGCAGCATCATTTTCCCGATCAGCTGTTCGCCTTGCTCGCAAAAGGAGCAAGACCACTACTCCATCCTGGGCCTCAAGGCCAGAGCGAGTCAAACAGAAGCCGGGATTCCCAGCTTCCCACGACATCCCCTGCACGGATGAGATGCATTGTATGTTGATCCTCGCATGCAAGACAAGACCTCGCTGTGCCGCCAAGGTCAAGAAGGCTTATCGAAGCCTTTGCAAGCGGTGCTCCTCTTCTGCTGCGGCACCGTTATGTGTGAATGCTGGGAATTCTCGAGATCCTCTGGTCTTCATTTGCGTTTACAGTTGCGAGAAGCAGCGGCATCCGCAAGCAACTGCCTCAGGTATCATCCAGATAAAGCCGTTCATTTGGATGAAGCAACTAGGAGAGAGACCGGATCTCAGCCGGGACGGAGATCCGTGTCCAAGGGCAGTGGGAGGAGCTGTTCGGACTACAGACTGTCAAGAGGCCTGGAGACTTACAGATTGCGGGTCCCGTTCCGTCGTCACAACAACTGCAGTTTCTCCGACGTGTCATATATATATATATACATGTATACATACACATGTAGATATATAGATATAGATATCGATCCCTGCCGCCGAGCCTCTGCTACACGACTGGCGGCCACCTGCACGAATCGCTTGCAGTCTTGCCTTCTGAACCTTGTTTGTCGCTTGTTCCTTGGAAGCGCAGGTCTCAACCCTACAGTTGATGACCTCATGGTCCGGATGGTGACAAGTACACCCTAATCGCATGCTGAAAGGAAACACGATGTGAGGGTTTCGAGACGGTGTAACGTGTGAAACCCACAGAGTAACATTGTAGCTGTCAGGGACCTCTCGAGCAACAACCAGCCAGAAATGAGCCCCCCCCCTCCCCCTTCACCCGATACAAGTTTTGATGCTAAGGCTTTTATTTGCTATGTTTGCTATCACTTTTGGTTGCTCCTGCTGCTGCTCTTGCTCCTGGTGTTTTTCGCTCGCTCTTGATCCCGCTGTTGTTGTTGCTCTTGACCACCACCCCTACCAAACTAGCTTCTAACAGGTAGGGATGATATCAGGTGGATTGTGTGGAGAATGTTTTTATCATTGAGCTGGTGTTTAAGAAATTAGGGAAAGGCCCTAAAGCCGTACCCCGTCGCTCCGGATAAACAGACATCACTCCGAAAGCAGGCACCTTGTACTTCGCCAAGTCGTGAGAGTTCAAACCCAGTTGGTTTGAGGCGGGAAGCACAGATGGTGAAGCTCAACGTCGCATATCAGGCGGCAGCGGGATGGACCTAAAGCTGTGACGAAACTGTGCCAGTGGTTAAGCGATTTCGGGGATTGCGTCCTTTCCACGGTTCCTCCAGATCAAAGCACATTCCTCCACTGGTGCTGTTTTCTTCGAGCTGGACCGAATCACAGGGTCAAGGTTTCAAATCTCAGACTGCTGAACTCCAAGCATCATGATTGTAGATGTTCGTCCTCGCCCACGTGAGTCCCACGTGCCTTGGCCCGAAAGCTTGACCTCTAAATGAACTAGAACCAACTAGGAGTGCAAGTGGATCTCAGCAATCCATCGCCGGCCAGCCTTCTCTGCGATTCGTAACGATGCTTCCGGTAGAAGCAACTTCATGGAGATGAAATATAATTGTGGGATGCTTAGCGCTATGTAGGTGTCCCTTGTCCACGGCCTAGGTGATCCCATATTGTCTGGCCTCCATCAGTTAGGGCCCTTCATTCTTGGAAACCCTCACAGCCTTGCCTCCCTTGCTCAAGTGTGTCCCGAGTGTGAGGGTCCAAACACCCTTGTAATACCGTTAGCGAGACCTGTTAAAACTCGACCACTCTGGGAAACTCGACCACTCTGGACTCTGTGCCATCCACCATCCTGCTGACAGGTGTTGAACTCGCCGAAGCAGCGCTTCGACTACGACCTTGCTCAGTCGATGACCCAACAGGGGCCAGAATTACATGGTGATGGGTTTCTATGTTAAGGAAGCCTGTGGAATAGTATTGGCAACAGCCAGCTCACAATATTAGAAATAGTTTCCTGGTGTATCTCAAAGCTGTATCGTGCTTCCAAAGCCTTATATGTGGTTTGCGATAGTAATCGTAAGGGTGCTTTCGAGAATAAAGAAGAGCTGCTGGTTGCGATGCTTGACAGAAGTTGCTGAACCTTCAATGAACTATTTGGACCAACGGCTTTGCAGGAAGCTGTGGATGTGCCGAGGCCTTGCCCAGAAGAGAAGCGTGCAGCAGATCCACACCCGGAAGGAGTAGAGTCGAGTAGAAAGTCGTTTCGAAGTGCGGTAGCGGGTTCATATTTTGTTCCAACTGCTTGTTGCATCGACTGTTCTGGTGCCGGAGACCGTCGCTCGGCTACTGGTAGTGCTAGGGTTCCGGTAGGTTCCCACAGAGCCTGGCCTGGGCGAAATACGCGACGTGTCGGTGACCCCAATCACGATTTGGAAAGTTCCCACCTTGGCAGGAGAAGTGCCCTTCGCTGCTGGGTTCCGCGCCTCCACACCCAATCAGAGGCAACCTCGCTGGTTTCGCTTGCGGTGCCCCCAGTGCCCCCTACTGAACTGACATCCCCGCTATCTCTTGAGCCGTGCGAGATTGACACGAAGGGATTTCATGGCAGATCCTTGTCTCTGGTGGCAGGTCTTCCATGGGGTCGGCAAATCCTGGCACCAGATTTCGCTATCCGCATCTCACCCAGAGAAATCGCGCATGCAACCACTGCTCTAAACTACGGTTAAATCCGATCGCGTGTGCTGTCTTTGCATCTTGTACCTTCGCAGACGAGTTTTGCGCCAATGCCCCGTGTCCCCTGCCGAATTCCCTACATGACTCTTCATTGCAGGGGGTGTGGATTGTAAAGGAGCTGAGTATTTGGTGGTAGGGTTTGCGTGCAGCCTCAGGTATTCTGCCAAGTACACGCAGCGAAGTCGTCAGGCTGGCATTGAAGGGTTCCAGCTCACGGCACTTGTCCGAAGCAAAGCCGCAGGCAACCTGCTCATAGAGTGACCTTGAGCTTTGCTTCGGCATTCTTCGTCTTCAGGTTAGGATCAGCATGGTCAACAGCAATACATACAGCAAGCGTGCCAAGATGTGCTGCACAGGCTCGCCGCATGGATCCATCCCAGTACACCACTCACGTGGATGGCCGCGCAGCCGAGTTCACGGGAAGGCGTGCGGGAGAAGAACCTTTGAGAATCGAAGATGACTGGAACAGAGAACACACGTCTCTGGTTGCGTGCATTCGCTTGTATTTAGCTATCCGTATATGTGTGTGTACGTGGATAGATCGTATGCTATAGATAAGAAGACAAGTGATTTTGATAGTTACTTTTCTTTTGTCAGCAGGGCAACAAGATTCACGGGCCACAATCGTGAAAGTTAAAGATGCGGATGCCACGAATGTCAGCTGGTAAAGCCGTGTGTCAAAGCACTCACACTAGAGACTCCTCTTAGCACCTTGCCCCTGTTGGATTCCAGGATCTCCGTTCACCTTGGAAACTTTAGGGAGTAATGCGGTGATTCTCTTGATTTTGCTCGGCCAACTTTCAGCTTTCACCTTGATGCTGGCTTCCATGCTCGACACTTTGAATCATAGAGCTGTTGGGCATTGTTCACTGCTCCTTGTGGTGAGGCACTGGAAGGCAGCTCGTAGTACCGACCGTCAAAGCACACAGCACCAGAGACCTCGTCAGGCATGTCCGAGTTGCGAGAGCGTAAAGATCCCGCATCTCTAGATGGCACTACGTCATGAGCACTCAAGCGGATGGACGATCACATAGGCGCCTGTGCTTAGACGCTCATCACCCAGCAGGTCTCCAGCAGCACATCAAGAAGAGGAGAAAGCCGGAGAGCGATTCTGGAGTTGGTTGGCAGTCTCGCGGTGTCCAGCTGCCAGGAGCGGTTCTCTCCATCGAATGACCCAGATTATGAGAGGCTGCACCCTTTTTGTGATGCTTCATAGATTTAGTGCACGCACATGCTTCGCCGAACCCGGGCTTTCACACCTGGGTTCTGGTTCCAGACTGCTGACGCCTCCAGCTTGTGTGAAAGTCGTGATCCCGTGAGGGCCATGCCGTGGGAACAGCGAGAGATGGACCTGGCACGAGAGTGGATGCAGGCCAGGCGAATGCAAGCTTCGGGGTGGCCTATTGTGTAAATGAAGCAGTCATGCCGAGTTCTGGGCATGCTCGGAGTTATGCAGGTAATAAGCGACAATTGTGCAAAGCCGCGGGAGCAAGAGACAAAGGACCCGCATTGCGAAGTCGGCGACAAGGAACAACCATGTGCTTCTTGATTCATGTCATGGGGAGTGGAAACGCGGACTGATCACGCAGTGCTACGGTCGAGTACAGGGAATCCCATCACAAACGCCACGAATGATGACAACACGATAACAGTCCTGACCAGCTTTCCGCAATGAAACAAGCAAGATGGCACTTGTGATGGGTCCGGCGTCTGCTGTCAAACACATCTGAGCAAGCCCAGTGCTGAGGTATGACAGTGGGTCTCCCAAACTGACGAAGGGATCACACGGCTCTCGAACTACGCAAAGGAACATGGTGCGGTTGCCTTCTTCAGTCTTCTTCATGTAAAAGACATGGAGCTGAGCCAATTTGAACTGTAAGTGTCAGCAGCACCGAACTACGTCTCTAGACTTCGAGAGGCTCCATCCTTCCAGTTGCGTGTGGACTTGTTTTCGATAAGGTGGTGAAGAGGAGAAAGGTTAAGCCCGTAACAGAACCATGAGCACGTGATTGATGTTGATGGCCATAAGCTGATGTACTGTAGCTGATCCCAAGTGGTGCTATGGAAGTTTGAGCCAGTGGGTGGATCTGTACCCGAAAGGCTTTCTGTCCACCAGAGCCTCCTGAGGAGCTTGGAACTTAGATGGGAGTTGCCCAGCAGGCTGCAACTTCGGTTAACTGGCGCAGCATGGAGCCAGTCAGATGTCAAGACGTTCGCCTTTTCCGCTACTGTGATTCATGTTGAGCATGAGCTGTGCATGCCGATGCATCCCAGTTGCATCCACAAATTTCCTGAGGCAGTATCAGTGGACTCGAGCCTCTGACCAATTCCTTCGAAACTTGAAGGAAAAACGTCAGCAGCGGGACACTCAGCGTGAGAATGCTTCGCTGCGGCTCTCGGAAGCACCGATCCGAGAGCCGGCGCCCGACACGCGCTGCCTAGGCGATGCCGCGGTGACTCTGGAAATCAGGCCGCAAGCCTTGAGGGGATGGGCCACATTCTGGTTGGAGGCTAGCGTGGTATAGCCGCCGAGTCGAGTCGTTGATGGATTTTGTCTTTGGGGTGTTAGCCGGATTCGTTTTTTGTAGTTTTTGGCTGGTTGCGCGGGAGCCCTGAAGCCTGTGGCTGGCAAGGAGATGATGCTGTAGTTTTATCAGCATATGCTCATTCTCCCTGTCATGACGCTCTTCCCAAGCAAGTATATGTGTCTCCAAAAGACTTAGCACAGTGCCTCGGAATGTCAACCCGTTCTCTACTGGAGTCTTTTTTCTGCAGCCTTTCTCGGTTTTGTCGGAGAAGTAACGATTGTGGGGTCGGAAGCACGAACAACCCGGGATCCTCGAGCATCCCTGTCAGAGTCATTTTGTCATTACAGGTGCTAGTTCTGATAGCTGATTAAAATCCTTGACGGCAGATGTTACACCCTCAAGTTTTCAACGGGTTCGTCAGTTGCTACAGGAGCCACCCTGGCAGCCAACGGTGGTGCATGCCTAGATGCACGGCAGCACAGGAACGCAGAAAAAGGACGTGCTGGGCGCATACCTGGAGCTTCGCACAGAGTTACTTTGTGCATATGTTGGTCTCGGAAGCAGGTGAGATGCTTTGGTTGCAGCCGCAGTAGTTGCTCAGTGTTACTCTCGGCGTGTCCGTGTAGCTGCTTGCCTCAGCCATGCTGAAAACCGCCCTCGTTGTCAGCCTGAAGGCTGTGGCAAAAATCGTGCTTATCTGTGCGGGTGGCGCCTACTTGGAGAAGAGTGGTGTCCTTCACAAGGAGATGCGAAAAGGCGTGTCGGAGGCTTTCGTCAAGCTGCTTTTGCCATGCTTGCTCTTCACCCGTATCTTGCCGACGATGTCTGTAGAGACATTACCAAAGCTGGCATGGCTTGCCATGGCGAACCTTTTGTATGTGTCACTTGGGCTATGCATAGGATGTGTGAGCGTTCTGCTCACAAAGCCTCCACGAGGCTTGCGCAGAGTCTTGATGGCGACCCCAGCTATCGGGCACGCAAACTCCATCCCTTTCATGCTCGTCTCCTTGATCATATCTGAGGACCCGGCCTTCAATCCAGGCGACACCAACACAGCGCAGGGATATGTTGGTTTGTATTTGGTCATGCACAGCATCACCCTGTGGGGTGTCGGAATGAACGTGATCAAGAAGGAGAAGGAAGATGAACCTTCATTATCGCATGAGAGCACGGAAACGCAAACTCCACAAACTCTGGGTCGATCAGCCAGTATCTCGGCACCTTCCCAGAGCACCGGTGGTCTAAGCATGAGCGAGGCACGTGAAGATCGCTGGTCTCATTCCATCTCCGGCTTGGAACTCGGCTCCCCTGTTACGGCCGGCGGGCCCAACACGAAAAATCAGCAGTTCTTCTGTGATCCACGACCTTTGCAGAGGTGGGAAGTCAAGAAGCCTTTAAGGGACCTTAACAGAGGATTCTGATTTAATAATCACTGTATGGACGCCCGAAGACATGTCCCCTGACTTGAGAAAACCCCTTCAGGTTTGTCCCAAAGTGGGTCAATCGGCCCGTGGCCACAGCAGTGCTCACCGCTCTCATCGGGCTCATCCCGGGCGTGGGAGATCTTTTGGTACCGGCTTCCGGGCCTTTGAAGCACAAAATGCACTTGGTAGCTTTTTTTGCATTCAGAATCAGTGAACACCATGAATGCAGCCTCTCGCATCCTCACTAGCGCAACGAAGGAATTTCCTTTTCGGAGCTATGAGCACTTTGGGATCTGCAGGGCCTGCCGTTAGTTTGCTGGCAGTCGGAGCCAACTTCGTCGCAGAAGGCTTTCCACGCCCATCAGTGATCGGCTACGCGCCGATGTTTGCTTTGATTGTGGGCAGACTTATGATTCTTCCGGGATGCTGTATTGCATTATGGGTTGCGCTCCGTCATTATGTGCCGTTCTTTCCATCTGATCCACTCTTGATGCTGGTGATGTGCATCGAGTGCTGCACACCCACGGCGTACAACTTGGTGACCGTTTGCATATTGAATGGTGTCGGCGCTAGGGAGTTGACGGCAGGTTTGTTTTACCAAAACATTGTCGCAATTTTTGCGCTCACGGCATGGACGACTGTCATTGTGTCTTTTGTCATCTAGCAGGGGAGAGTATCATCCTCATATAATGACCAATCAATGATTGTAAAGGCTCAGCAGAGCGCTGGCATTCCCTGCCTGCCAAGCTGCACGTGTACAGATACTCACAGATGATGAGTATTCGGAAGAGCTGCCAGCAAAATGGCCTTGTACAGCCGGCAAAGAGCATCAGCTCCCATATTTGGACTTTAGAAACTGACTGAGCCAACTGTTTTGCCGTTTTGCCATTGCGGAAAACCCTATCTGTCGGCATCATGGCGTGTGAGAGCACAGTGTTGAGACGCACAACGCATGCCGATTGCAGAAGTTAATCCTTCGCGGAATCGGTTCATCTCTTTGGGAGTTTATCTTGTTACTTGCAATTGCTTCCTGCCGAGAACCGGAAGGACCTCCTTATGGAGCTTGCCTGAAGCGTTATGACAACAAGGAGGGTGCAGGCTGCTGGCGAGGAAGATTCGAAGCACGGTCCTTCGCAAGTTCACCGCTGAATGTTCTCGAACAGTCCTTTTGGATCTTCGTTTCGGTATCGCTTGATTTTGCTGTGGTTATCGTATGACTGCAGGCTCTTAGCATTATTTGCATGCCCGAACGCACTTGTCACAGGAACACCCTCACACGTATCAATTGTACCCGTTAGTACTTGTCATTTAGTCGCAACATGGCCTTTGTTCAAGTTGATTAGTACTGCAACCCAAAGTCATCGTCCACGCAGCCACTCGAGACCTTGTAGCCTGAAACATGGACTGACACGTGAGTCCAGTCTAGCTTGCACAACAGAAGACTAAAGGCAGCCATGGCCGCCTCGGAGACCGGAGCTGGATACGGTACGAGTCAGCCGCCTGTCGTCGTTAAAAAGCCGGACACGCACAAGCGCGAGTACAGTTTTTTGGAGTTGGACAACAAGCTGAGAGCCGTCATCGGATCTGATCCTGAATGTGACAAAGCAGGAGCTGCTCTTGTTGTCAATGTGGGAATGTGCCACGAGAGGAAGGACTTACCAGGGCTTGCTCACTTTCTGGAGCACATGCTCTTCACGGGAACGTCGAAGTATCCCAAAGAGGGTGAGTACCATGAGTTCATGAACCAGAATGGCGGGATGGCCAATGCATACACAGCGTGTTACTTCACTTGCTACATGTTCGAGGTGAAGCCGGAGTGCTTGGAGGAGGCTTTGGACCGCTTCAGTCGCTTTTTCATCGAGCCACTCCTGACCCGAGACTGTACGGAGCGAGAGATCAACGCCGTCGACTCCGAGTTCCAGGCCGGCCAGACCTCGCCTTGGTGGCGCCACGTGGGGATCATGAACATGAGCGCGAACCCGGATCACCCCTTTCATGTGGCCGTGGGGAACAACAAGGT